ATAGAGCCAGAAAACAAAAGGTTTTCTTTGCACTATAGTTTCCCTTTAAGCTTTTCAAATATAATATTAATATTTTTGATACACTTTGAAAATTATAACAATATTAAAAATATATATATATCAATATACAAAAAAAAATTATATAATTTGAAAAGCTTATCCAAAAACATTAAATTGAGGCCAAAGTTGTAAATGAGCCAATAGAGTATCTCATGGGGGGTAAATCGTGTCCAGGCTGGATTAATAAGGTGGTGACAATTTGTATATTTATAAAGAGTTCCTTGATTAGTTAAGCACCCATCCATACATTTATTGACACAATAAAAAAATTATCAATTTTATTGTTAATACATGTGTTCAATTCTATTCTTCTGCAGTTACTGATGGAGATACTTTCTTCGATGATAATGGAAAAGTGAATTCGCCATCACATCCTAACTCATATCCCCATAATGCAAATGCTGTTTATACTATAAGAGCACCATCCGGTAAAAAGGTGAGAATATTAAGGGCACTAAGCTCCACCTATACATTTTAAAGTTATACAGAAAAACTGAAAGTTATAGGCGCTCACTATAGTGCAATGAGTTAATAGGGGCTGCGGCATACAATACAAGGATTCCCAAAACCTTGTGTGATTTAGAAAAAAATATATATATGCGTATATTGCACCTCAAAAATCATACATACATAAACCTTCAGGGAGTACAATGTTGCAAACCTCAGGATAACAAAAAAAAAAGAGACAATAATAGTGCAGTACAATATGGTAAAGTGCAAATTATGCTAATCTTAGCTATAGGAAAACCACTCCTATTTAATAGAGCTATAATAGAGCTCTGCTATATTGCATGTGGAAGGTACAATCCCTGTTTAAGGATATATGGTAGTATAGGTTGTGCTGGTCCTCCAGGTGGAAATGCAGATATATAAGTGGTATATATGGAAGTAAAAGAGCAGAAATAACTCCAATGGTGTAGCAAGTACTATTATATCAAATGAATAAGAGGAAATGTACTTACATTTTATAGAGCAAGACTTGCTCTAGTTGGAACAGCATGGGTGGTATAATCGTGATGTAGATTAATTTAGAAATAAACAAAAATGTTTAAAAGTCTATCTGTTCCTGTCCAAATCTGAGATGAATAAATTGCGTATACGCAGAAGTAAGTTCACACTGACACATGCAGTTCAGGTTAAAAACACTTCAGGAAATTTATTAGCATCTAGTTAAAAAGTGGGCACGCAGGCCTTTTTATATGCAAAATGACATCATCATTGAATATCAGATAATAACAAATAAACATCATTAATTGGGTTAAATGTTAAGTGGCTATGTCAGTGTCCACCCATTAATATTATTAATTGGCTCAGAGATTTGAGTGACTAGTGAGGCACCCTCCCATCATGGGATGTCGTCGCCATTGCTCTTTAGCACGAGGCTTACTCGGTGGAAAGGGGGGCTTGGGCGTCATTTTACGTAGTTAGTGATGTCAGTCTCGTGGTCTGTTCCAAGGTTCTTTTATGAATAGAACATTTCATTTTGTCACTGTTCTCCTGGCCTTGGATTATACTATGTTGCAAGTCAACGGAGATCCGCTAACTCCGGGGCTAGTTATGTCCTTAGAGAGAGAGAATACAATCTCTTATTCATTATACTGAATACTGTCAGGAAATTCTGTCATGTAAGGTGAACAAAATGGAGTTAGTACAATAATTCAATACAGGTTCTAATAAAGATTTTAATAATTCTACATCAGTCCCCCCTATGAAATGTTAGATTCTAAAAGATAATCTTTATTTGCTAGTATCAGAAGACGTGTTAGCCCAAAGGCACAGAAACCCCGTGACCCGCTAGCTAGGTGTTATTGCAAAGTGCAAAGCTGTCCCTTCGTCTGTCCCTAATTGGCTAACTCATCTGTCCGCTGGGCACTCGAACACTTCACTCCATGGGTATCCCGAGGTGGCTAACCCACCACATCTCCGCACGGTAGACTTCCCAGACAGACAGATGCTGTCCCTAAGCTGGTCCCTTCCTAGAACTCTTGCACTTTATCAATAAACGGGATAGATTGTAGCGGTATACAGGGCGAGTTGACTTTTTGGAAATCTTGGTCATCAACTGTGAGGTGTGCGTAAGTGGGTGCCGCTTGGTCTACAGTCTTCAAGAGGAGCTTTCTCAGACAAGGGAGGACACAACAAACGAGAAGAGCAAAGATAAAAAGGAAAATTAGTATTGCTATACCAATATGCATCAAAGCTTTTTGCCATCCTGTCATCCAACCAAACCATCTCTCCCAGGGATCTTTTATCCCAGAGTTCCTCTTTAGCTCCTCAGAGAGCTCTTTCAATTTTCCTATAGCTAAGGTTACTTTACCATTGGGGCCTGTGTTTTCTGGGATGTAAGTACAACATGTCATGGTGTCAGGCAGAATTTTACATACCCCTCCTTTTTCGGCTAGAATCATATCTAAAGCCATTCTATTTTGGAATGACATTTGGGACGTAGCCTGCAACTGTTCGGCCAAACCCTGAAGGGCATCCCTGGTGTAATTAACAAACCGTTGTTGGTTGTAGTAGATGTAATTTATCCAATTTAAATTCTTGTTTGCAGTGACTATGGTAAAAAGTGATTCAAATCCTGCAGCAACTTCATCCCTGGCTTTAAACTCATTGGGCACCCCCCTAGGTACCCCAATGGCATCAATGTAAATATGAGGGTCAAAACTGCCTTTTACTGGGGCTTCACGCTTTACCTTGGTTGGTGAGTGTTTGGACTCATGAGTATCGGGGTGTGTGTCAGAGATAATATGTATGGGCATGATTGCTTTAGCCAGAGTACACTCCCCCCACCATTCTTTATCCATTCTTGATCTCAGCTGTAGATCCCCACACAACCAGTAAATATCCCCCAATGATCTAGTGTGGAATTGTAGGAGGTTCATAGAGACAGTTCTGTAGGTGGCACAATAACCTTTAGAGAAGTTACCCACAAATTTACCAATTCCATCATAATTAGCATAACAGGTATAATTACCTTTATAGACGGTAACACCATCTGGGGGTTTGCAATCTTTGACTAGAAGAGGATACTCTACTGTCCATGCTTTACATATGGACCTATTGAAATTGTAGTGATAGGCAAAAAGACTCAGAACACATTCTTCTATATCTACTGGCAAAGTTGAAGGCACAGTGCCCAGGTGCGGCCGGGCACCACCACACACATAGCATGCGGTTCTGTTATGTTTGTTGGTATTATATTTCATCCATTCTAACCATAGATTAACATCATTGAAACCTGTTTCAGCGGCCATGGTATCTTCAAATGTTGGATTTGCAATGGCCATCATGTCTTTAAAAGATTGGATGTGTGGTTTCAACGGATTTGAGACCATGTGGGTGGTCCCTTTCCACTCAGGAGAGTGGCACATATCTTTAAGGTGGAAATGTCCTAATTTATTATAGGAACCCTTCTTCCAGTACATTCCCATTACATACTGGTCTGCATCCGTTGGGCTGGGATGCTCAATGTTTAAGATTAATTTCATAGGTATGCCTCCTCCGGGCTTTCTCAGAGTCATTCTCTGGAGGAGGGACCTACCGTGATCATCAATTTTAGATAAGACACTTTTTGGTTTGTAACCCCAGGCAGGCCCGGCATTCCATCCCGCCGCCCCCCAATGGTTACAGTTGTGCCCCCATTGTTTGTCAACTACACAAACATAGGGGTCTTTTGAATGAGGGATATCTCTATAGATATTCTGAATCTGTGACGTGGGGAATGGGCATTCTACGATGTCACAGTAGTCAAAAGTATAAGTAGCCACACGGGTACATGATGAATTATACCAGAAGGTGTACCCACTAGCATCTTTGGTGATGGCCACCTGCTGGGCTTTAAGGAGACCAACTAAGGAGATAATGTACCAGAGGCACATGGTTGCATAGAGTTAGCTTCCTCTGGGGCAGGTGTCTTCTTGCAATGGGAAGCGTGGATCCAGTTAGGCCTTCCGGCCAATTTGACAGAGGTAGGGGAGATCAGGAGAACTTGGAACGGACATTTACTGTTTTCGCACAAATTTCTTGACCAGAACCCAGTCATCGGGGAGCAGACTGTGGTTGCCTGTGTCAGAATCAGGATCTGGAATTGAAGAGAAAACTTGGGCATGGATTTTGTTTAAGGCGTTTGCGAGTTCAGTTACATAATCTACTAAGACATCAGTTTGAAGTTGTAGTTGTTGGGGAAAATAGCAACCTAGCCTAGGTGCAGTCCCAAATAGAATCTCATATAGGGACAATGAGGTAGTATTTTTGTACAAGAGCATTCATTAGATCCTTTGATAAATGTGCAGGTCCGTGTGCCCATTGTACGACTGCTGGGTACAAATTCTTAGGGAGGCAGAACTTGAGGTTGTTGGAGTACACTCCATCCTTCAGAACTGCCCCTTTCTGTTTCCACTTCTGTATTTCTTCAGGGGCAACTGTAGCCTGTTGTTCCCGCAGGATTTTTAGGTCAGTTGGAAGAGTCTGCAGAGTAAATATGGGAGTTTCTTCATTTCCGGACACTCTTCTTTCCACTTCCTGTGGTTCTTTTTGCAGCTTGTTTTGCAGCCTGATCAGCTAGATGGTTGCCCTTTGCTTCATCTGAGTCCAACTTCCCATGTGCTTTTATCTTCAAAATAGCCACTTCTTCTGGGAGTAGGAGGGCGTCCATCAGCTCCTTGATTGCGGAACCGTGCTTGATTGGTGTACCGGCGGTAGTAAGAAATCCTCTTATTTTCCAAATTAATCCGAAGTCGTGAGCCACGCCCAGTGCATATCTTGAATCCGTGTAGATATTGGCGCGCTTTCCTTCAGAGATCTTGCATGCTGAAGTCAGGGCTTGCAATTCAGCTTCTTGTGCAGACATAGTTGATAGTAAAGATGATGATTTGACAATTTCATCTGTTGTGGTTACGGCATATCCTGTATGGTATCTTCCTTCTTCATCAGCATATCTTGAGCCGTCCACAAACAGGGTGAGATCGGGATCTACCAATGTGTCTTCATGCACAGTTGGTAGATGTGTTGTTTCCATTTTCATCTGTTCAAAACAGTCATGAGGTGTATCTGGGTCGTAGTCATTCACTATGGTTAAATCTTGGGACTCATTCTCCAGGAAATGACGCGGCCATGCTTTTAGGTGGTCAGTTGTTGGATATTTGACAACACCATTTTCCTGTAGCTGTGATTCGTCCATAGTGGCCCATGCTTTTGCCATAGGCCCAAGATCATTCCATGATATTGTTTTCAACTTGGTCACGGGGACATGTGGAATGGCAGTGTCCCAATGACGGCACAAATACTTGAGTTCCGGAGGTAGATGAATCAAGACCATACTGTTGCCTTCAGAATCACAGTAGAAGTCTTGTGCAGTGAGTTTTACTTCGACCAGATGATAGAGTTCATCTTCATAGCAGGTTTCAGGAGTGATGTTTGATTTGTACCACATGGTACAGAAGGCATATCCTGCTCCGTCATGAAGGAGTGCTTGTCCATCATGAAAGGATAGGTTGGGATGCATTTCCTTCTTGATGGTACCAGTGAGAAGAAAAACATAAGTTTCGTCCATGATGAATCCGTAGTATACACCCCCCTCAGGGAGTGGCAGAAGAATGGACGGATTGAGAACTTGACATCTTTGGAAGGGTAATGTTGTCAGGCAACAAAAGATGACATTGAAGGCGAAGATGCCTAGCAGGAGTAACATGCTTAAGTTGGACCTGGTTGACTATGGCAGAAATGTCATGGGGGGCCAAGACAACCAGGGGGTGGCCAAGGACAAGATCTCCAGTTCTTTCAATGAGCTCTCTGGCAGCAAAGACGGCCCGAAGGCAAGAGGGACGTCCTCTGGCCACAATATCCAGTTGGCAGGAGAAAAATCCAATAGGCCTTGGCGGCCTCCAGGACCATGGGCCTGAGTGAGCACTCCTGTTGCATGGCCTTGTCTTTCAGAAACAAACAATTTGCATGCCACTGAGAAGGCTGTCAATTTGGTGTCTTGAGCAGATGTGGGTGAGGAAAGTAAAGATGCTTGACGTACCTGATCTTCTGTAGCAACAGCAAATCCAGTATGGTACCTTTCCTCTTCATCCACAAACAGAGTGGAGTCAGGATCTGGCAAAGCTACTGCATGCCTTGTTGAGAGGTGTCTTATTTCTTCTTTCATCTGTTCAAAGCAACCATGAGGAGTAGTAGAAGAGATATCCTCACCTATTTCTGTGTGAGATTGAGGGTATTTGTCTTTCCATTTACAGTTGTCTTGCTGCCCCCCCCTCTGTAGAGAGCTGATATCGATTTTTAGTGTTTCATGTTTTATTGAGTCAGGTTCCTTTTATGAGATTTCTGGGGACTTAGTGAAGAAAACATGAGGGGCAGCCACCTCCCAGTGATGATACAGGTGTCTTACTTCCATGGGAATCTGGGTCAGGACCGCACTATTTCCTTGAGAGTGCCCAAAACAGTCTGAATAATAATTTTTTTTTTTTTTTTGTGTGGTATTCCCCCCTGGGAAGTGGCGGAAGAGGGGCCAGAGCAACTTTTTTTTTTTTTTTTCAAAATATAATGTTGTCAGGTAGGGGACAAGGTGGAGTAGAGAGAGGAGTAGGAGGAGGAGAAGGTGGAGTAGGAGGGAGGAGTAGGAGGAGTAGAAGGTGAAGTAGAGGGAGGAGTAGGAGGAGGAGAAGGTGGAGTAGAGGGAGGAGAAGGTGGAGTAGAAGGTGAAGTAGAGGGAAGGAGTAGGAGGAGGAGAAGGTGGAGTAGAGGGAGGAGAAGGTGGAGTAGAAGGAGGAATAGGAGGAGTAGGATTGAATAAGAGGAGGAGGGAGGAGTAGGAGGAGGAGAAGGTGGAGTAGGAGGAGGGGAAGGTGGAGTGGGAGGGAGGAATAGGAGGAGTGGAAGGTGAAGTAGAGGGAGGAGTAGGAGGAGGAGAAGGTGGAGTAGAGGAGAGGAGAAAGAGGAGGAGAAGGAGGAGGAGAGAGAAGTAGAAGGAGGAGAAGGTGGAGTGGAGTAGGAGGAGGAGTAGGAGGAGGAGAAGGTGGAGTAGAGGGAGGAGAAGGTGGAGTAGAAGGTGAAGTAGAGGGAGGAGTAGGAGGAGGAGAAGGTGGAGTAGAGGGAGGAGAAGGTGGAGTAGAAGGAGGAATAGGAGGAGTAGGATTGAATAAGAGGAGGAGGGAGGAGTAGGAGGAGGAGAAGGTGGAGTAGGAGGAGGGGAAGGTGGAGTGGGAGGGAGGAATAGGAGGAGTGGAAGGTGAAGTAGAGGGAGGAGTAGGAGGAGGAGAAGGTGGAGTAGAGGAGAGGAGAAAGAGGAGGAGAAGGAGGAGGAGAGAGAAGTAGAAGGAGGAGAAGGTGGAGTAGGAGGAGGAGTAGGAGTAGGCAGGGGTGGGCAGGTAAGGGAGCAGACAGGTCTCCAGTCTCTTCGGGGGCGTGGTCTCTGAATGGAGGCGTGGGTATGTAGCAGTGGAGGATACATCAGAAATCAGAATTAAGTAGAAATGCAATGGAGGCTGCAAATAGCACATGTACAACAACTGTTAACTGGCCCTATGCTTTCCCTAGAGAAAAATAATAAAAGGCTAACAAGCACATCTGTCTGTACAGGCCTCGAACGCTTCACTCCGTGGGTATCCCGCAGTGGCTAGTCCACTACATCTCCCACACCAGACTTTTGCTCGTAGAGACAGACGCTATCCCTGACTCTCTTTTTTTTTTTTCAACCTATTATAAAATATAACTCTTACTTACATCACAAATATACATTATCGCAATTTTATGTCTCGCAAAAGGGATAAAACTTATTTTACTCTTCACTGATAATGTATTAAAACTTACAAAATAGACAAATAACATTGTTTTTCTGCGAGATAAATGAAAAAGATAATGGAGGTTTTGTTAAGCTTTACATTTAGCTATACATTAATTTATCCTTTCTGGTTTCCAGTTTCTCTCTGTTAATGACAATGTACAATGTAATAGAGCAGCAGGAAAAGCTAGCAGAATGCTTGGTTGTATAGGGAGAGGTATTAGCAGTAGGAAGAGGGAAGTGCTCATGCCATTGTACAGAACACTGGTGAGACCTCACTTGGAGTACTGTATACAGTACTGGAGACCATATCCTTAGAAGGACATGGATACCTTAGAGAAAGTTCAAAGAAGGGCTGCTAAACTGGTTCATGGATTGTAGGATAAAACTTACCAGGAAAGGTTAAAGGATCTTATCATGTATAGCCTAGTGGAAAGACGAGACAGGGGAAATATGATAAAAGCATTTAAATACACAAAGGGAATCAACACAGTTAAAGTGGAGTCTGTATTTAAAAGAAGGAAAACTACCATAACAAGAGGACATAGTCTCAAAAATAGAGGGACAAAGGTTTAAATAAAAATACTATCAGGAAGTATTACATTACTGAGAGGGTAGTGGATGCATGGAATAGCCTTCCAGCTGAAGTGATAGAGGTTAACACAGTAAAGGAGTGTTTAAGCATGCGTGGGATAGGCATAAGGCTAAGCACTTGCTGCTAGTAACAGATCTAGAATCAATACACTATAATGCCCAAAGTCTCGACTTCTATGCATATATAATAATAAAATATCTGGGCTTACATTAAAAAAATATGTTAGTCAGTCTTTAATCTTGGTGGTTGACATTATCTAATAAAGACAGATTGGAACACCCTCCCCCCTTATCCATTTGTTAGTAGTTAGGCTCATAATGTTTTCTGGTTCTTTTCAATTAGATCAAAACATCTTGAGACCAATCTTTAATTGTATTACCATTTGTTCAAGAAATCTTTGTTTATTAGAAATTTCTTTTAGCATGTTATCAATTTTTTGTACACAAAGTTAATACATATTGTTACTTAACACGTGAAGATCTCGTCAGCCATGGATGGCCAGAACTGACACGATATATGGGCAGATATGACCTCACTAAGGGCAGAGTGAAGGCACTTAAGGACAACCTTCTTTTGTTCTAGGGGCCATTTTCCTTTAGGGCATACTAAGTCTCTCTGGAGGCGTGGGTTTCATGGGAAGTAACATTCTGTTCGGCAAAATGAAAATCTGAACTGTGGACAGACTTGACGGATTAAATAAGACAGTTGTGAATATTATACATCTAACAGCCCACAAAGCTGTCTCTAGAAACATATACTAACTTAATAACTTCTATTCCTGCATCAGATTCACTCCCTAACCATCCTATCAATTTCTATTGAGATAACAAAAAACACAATTAGAATATTTTCTAGCAAAAATTTCATTGCTAAAATCTTATCAGTAGCTTCTGAATAACTCTACAGAACACCGAAGAGACAGACCTAAATCGCAAGCATGTCACCACCCCCCTCCGCCCCCTCCCCCCCGCGTCTCACAGAAGCGAGGGGAGGGGGGGGTGTTTTAGCAGAGGGGGATTTGAGTGGAACAAGAGAGAGACTGCCTGCCAGCACGAATTTAACCATGTCAACGCTGTACAGTAACAAGACAGAAGGACAATTACATTACAAAGCAAAAACACAACATTTCATTTAAACCCCCACCCTCTACCAGGGTAATGGCTAACACAAAATACAAAAACCCCACAGCGTTTTAAGATTGGGGTGGGATGGTGACCATGGTCAGCTACATTTCGGTCATTACTGACAGGATGATGGAAGTGGTCACCTCCTGGAACCCCCGACAGGGCACTGGCTGGGATAACTTCCCAGTAACACAATTATTATGATATACATACAGTTCTTAACCCTTTATGATTTATCTCTTCCTCTACCCAACCCTCCTGCTGGATAGCCTTTCTACTCTGTACCATGCTTCAGCAGTACGCAATAAATCATTATCTGTAAGCTTGCCTTTCTTCTCTGTCAGTAATCTACGCCAGCTTTCTGGCTGTAATCTACCACATGAAGGCACAGCAATTTTACACACTTTAGCAATCTTTGCAACATTTTTAACCAGTTCTTCACCTTCTCTATCTTCAACTAAATCACACGCGAGCCAGCCCCTAGCGGGCTTACTCGTTTCCTGTCCCATATCCCCCTATACAAAGCGTCCCAAGTATAGGTAAAGGAAAATGAAACAGAACGTCTACAATGCTCGACTGCCACTAGGAAGGGTGGGTCCCTCCCAGTGCGTCTTCCCAAAACGTAGACCAGTCACTGAATCCGTGTACCCTCGATGGTAACCACGGATTGGAGCGGGGTGAGAAGTGTGTGACCAATCACTTCTCTTTCAAGAGAAATAGGAGTGGATAGTGTAAATAGTACAGGAAGTAGAGGAAAAGTAAACAGTGAAAGTAGAGACAAACCCAGGAGTTTGAATGACTCCACACTTAAGACAACATTTAATACAACATTTCAATTGAAATACAGTGCATGCATCAACAGTAATCCCTTTCCTTTACTCTTGTGGCCACCAAGCCACCTCCCTCAATCTCGTAGTGTCCCCGCTCGGAGAACAACTTTCGTAAGTTTCACTACCAGCGGCCAAGGATAACGACTAACACCGGCCCGAAATCCATATGCCTCCCTCGTTACAGCAGTCCACTAAGTGTGGCCACCTCTATCCTCACTCCCGTAGTGCTCCCTATGGACCCACCCACAAGTCACACTACCCCGTGGTGATGGAGACAACAATGCCTGCCCGAATCCACACACCACAAATAAATTGGAATGCCACCAGCCTCAGCGCTCGAAGCTGGAGGGTACCATAACCTCTGCAAGCAGAGCAACGTACACAATGAGGCTAGCTAGAATATCAAAGTGACGTAACCGGGAAACCCCAGGAGGCAAGTCCCCTCCACAGAATCCCCCAACCCTTCTTTTTCCTTACTACTGTTAGCTAGACAGTACCTAAAAGAAGTAAACAGGAAAACAGGACCCCTTTGGAAAATCCCCACAGGTCCACCCCCCCTTTTTTCCCAACAGTCTGGGCCAAGTGACTCCTAAAAAGGGGTAAAAACAGGCAACAGAAGACCCCCAGGCAACCACCCACGGGTCCACCCCCCTTTATCTCTAAAGAGGGAAAGAACAAAACATATACCACTAGCACACCCAGGCAACAGATAGACTAAATGCAGGTAAACAAATGGGTAACAAGACACCGGGCAAGATATTACCTGTCTTTGATGCCCTCCCGGGAAGCAGTCACAGACACGTGGACGGGTCAATCAAAGGGGCTGGAACATACCGGTGGCTCCTGCAGAAGTCTCTACCGTGTACTCAGAGGTGATCAGTCTCTCTTCCTTCCCCCCTGATTCCTCCGTCCAACAGCGTCTTCCTTAGGACGGCTTACCGGCGGAGGCCATAGCCCGATGCCCCACGTTGGATGGACGCCAGATTGAACAAGATTAATTTAGAAATAAACAAAAATGTTTAAAAGTCTATCTGTTCCTGTCCAAATCTGAGATGAATAAATTGCGTATACGCAGAAGTAAGTTCACACTGACACATGCAGTTCAGGTTAAAAACACTTCAGGAAATTTATTAGCATCTAGTTAAAAAGCGGGCACGCAGGCCTTTTTATATGCAAAATGACATCATCATTGAATATCAGATAATAACAAATAAACATCATTAATTGGGTTAAATGTTAAGTGGCTATGTCAGTGTCCACCCATTAATATTATTAATTGGCTCAGAGATTTGAGTGACTAGTGAGGCACCCTCCCATCATGGGATGTCGTCGCCATTGCTCTTTAGCACGAGGCTTACTCGGTGGAAAGGGGGGCTTGGGCGTCATTTTACGTAGTTAGTGATGTCAGTCTCGTGGTCTGTTCCAAGGTTCTTTTATGAATAGAACATTTCATTTTGTCACTGTTCTCCTGGCCTTGGATTATACTATGTTGCAAGTCAACGGAGATCCGCTAACTCCGGGGCTAGTTATGTCCTTAGAGAGAGAAAATACAATCTCTTATTCATTATACTGAATACTGTCAGGAAATTCTGTCATGTAAGGTGAACAAAATGGAGTTAGTACAATAATTCAATACATGTTCTAATAAAGATTTTAATAATTCTACATCACTTCCATGGGACCATCAGTTTGGATATGACCCATCTGAGGATGTTGGTCCTGCGCGCAACATCCTCAGATGGGTCATATCCAAACTGATGGTCCCATGGAGGTCTTCAGAGTGTGCCTGCAGGTCAAATTTGGTGACCACTGTGGCCGCCAGGGACAGCAGGTCTTCATTTTTTTGTGCTAGCATGGCCTGTTCGGGAGCGGTCTCCAGGGATGTGAGAGGTAAAGGCGTCATCTTGGAGCCGGAATACATCTGTGAGCTAGATGGTATGTGTAGAAATCCATTCATAGGTCCCAGTTGAGACCCTGATTGGGTGCTTCTTAGGGGTCTGAGATGGTCAGCTTTCTTATTGCAGCCAATCTTTGGTGCTGGCTGCTTTTTATTCATTTTTAATAGGCAATGTAGAGCGGAGCTCTGGATTCATGCTGCCATACCAATCACAGCACAGGCCACGCCCTCTGTAGAATGTGTTCACCTGAAGATTGTTACTACAAACAAAATATGGAATGTACATATTAAATGAACAGGGAGATTTATGAGATGATTAAATAATGATGGTAAGAGGTATGATATGAAATGGCAGTGCTTCTGAGTAATTCTATATTTAATAAAGGAGGTTTAAAAATATTGTTTATTTTTCCTATTTTAGTCAATTATAAATACCTGAAACAGAAGTAGTAATAACATTGTACATGACAGAAATTGTATACAGTTTAACAATATATTTTAACATGTATTTTTTTTTTTTATGTTTGTAGGAAATTCCACATTTGCAGATGACCATGGTCCCCTTACTCCAAAGGTAATACTTTACTAACATTCTGTTTAAAAAGATGTATACTTTCACAGATATTAACTGTTCCTGCAATGTTAATGTATATAAATAATTTGGTAAATAACAATGAAGTATGGTAAAGGTTGTTCATAAGTAAACAACAAAATGGTGCTATCCTTTTGAGGTACCCCTTCAAGGATC